TTTTATATTACAACCTACTAATATTTTCAAGTTTACAAATACTTAAATCTTTTTACTAACATCTTCAATATATTAATTATACTTTATTTTTTATTTTTATCATTCAGCAATCACAGATCTCAAATTAAAACAAATAAACTAACTACAAATATCAACTTCTATTCTTGTATTTATAGATAATACACTATGAATAGCACTATCAAAAAATAAACTTGAGCAAATTTTGATATTAGCTTAATCATCTTTAGGATAGCTAATATACAAGTTAATTCACTCAAATCTATTCTTAGCACTAACTCAAAAAATTCAATATCTATTAACTTTATCTAACTACAATTACTCTATAATTCAAAAATATACCTTTTAAATTTTTAAATGCTAGTTTCTGCTAAGTTACAACAGATTCAACAAACCAAACTTATTGTTCAGGAATCAAACAACCTAACCAATATACTCAAAACTAAACAAATAACTGACAAACAAGTAGCATATTTTATAAATACTATTATAATTCTAACTCTTGAATACTGAATTTATAATATTGTTTTATCAAAAACAATCTGTGAAAAAATGTTTTCTATATATATAACTATTGCTAAACACAAATCTAATCTTTTATAAAATATTCTAAATAGTATTATACTAAATTATAATATTTATAGAATTAAAAATTTTTGGAATATATAGCTCTAATACTATATTTCAAAATTTCTACTTCAACTTAATAATATTAACCTTTTAGAAATAACTACAAAAATCTGTATTTAATAACTACAAAATAATTTGTGGTCTACAACAAATATTCTCCAATACTCTAATCTAATTATTGATGAAAAAAACAAGTATTCTACTAACTTTAAAATTATTCAATTACTCTAACACTTAGATATATAAATAAATATATACTTTAGTATAATATAGCCAAATACTATTATACATTATACATATCTTCTTAAATTATTACTTAATTAATATAATGTCTACAACATATTTAAAAAACAACTCAAAACAAAAAATATACTCTTTTTAGACTAACTGATCACTATAGATAATAGCACTTTTCTAGAATAGGAATATTTATCTTCACAAATTAGCTATTTACCTAAGAACAAAACTCCAACTTAGTTTAAATATCTTGAAAATACTTTAATTAAAAACTTTTCTTCTAGAAAACTTACTCAACAACTTACACTTATACCAAATAACTACTTTAGCTATACTACTAGTCATTTTAGTAAACAATATAAACTATAGCTGATTACTATTAATAATGATAATTTAGTAATCATTAACAAAGTATGTTTATTTAATACTTAACTCAATACAATTTCTATTATACATTAGATATATAATATTAACTACTTACATATAGAATATTATTTAATTTTACTTATAACATATAATCTCTGTTCTAAATACAACTTAAATTCTAATAGAATTAAAAATTATTATACTTTTGATATTTTAACTACTCTTTTAATACAATTCTGAGGAAGAAAAACCTTAAGTAATCAAACCTCATCACTTAAATTTAATACAAATTACCTAGATTTGATATATGTTACTGCAAATAAAAATCTAATATATATTCTTCCTATTTCAAATATTCTTATATACAACAACTTTGTTTTTAAAATATTCAACTCTAATAGCTTATCATATTATTTAAATAATATTACAATATCTAACTCTAACTCTACAAACCTAACTTTCTATACTGATAAGTTTTTTGCAACTTAATAACTAACTAATACTCTATTAGTATTAGATAAATACAAGTTAAAAACAATTTAATTATAAATTCCTTTATAGCACAAGCTTAATATTAGCCTTCATCATATAAAATGAAATTACTTGTAATACTATCAACAATTAGTATAGCTTCTTGTAACTACAAAATTGATATTTATATAAACTTATAATTTGTAATATCTAAATATCAAAAACCCACTTAAACAATAACAAACTTATTATACTACTACTCCTACAACAACTAGCTAATTTGGTATACTTTACTTAATCTTATTAAATTCTACAAACTTATAATCTTACTTTACAAAGTAATAGCTTATAGTGATAATAAACTGAATAATATAGCTAATTCACTTATACAAAACTACTAAATACTATCACTTCTTGAATTTTTATTTTTTTTTTATCTCTATTTACTATTCTGAAGGTCCTTAGATACCTTAGGATCTGTCACATCTTTTAAGGCTAGAGTTATCATTCTGCAGAGTTTACGAAATGCTGCAAGCCTCTATATATTACTGAACTCGTAAGATAACTCATACTTTTTTAAGTCTGTTATATGATGTTCTGGGTCTTTAGTCTCACATTGTAGGATCTATGTTCTTTAGATCTGCAGTTCCTTAATTTCATATAATCTACCAGCAAGATTATCCTTTTTTATTAGTTCTATGCTAAGTTTTCTCAATATTAATATCATTTGTTAACAGATTTACCTTATCTAGTTATCTCTGATACTATGATTATGCTCATAAACTGCTTTTATACATATAAACCTTGTTCTTTTCTAAACAGAAAAGTCTTCTAAAGATTTTTGCTAATTATAGTCTTAGCAAAGCCTTGTTATACAGTTAGATTCGAATTTGTGATCTTGTAATTATGATCTGAAAGTGCTAACTACTGTGCTATTGACCTATGGGTCTACTTCTTGAATTTAAATATACTAACTTATACAATTCAAACTTCTATATTATATAGAAAAATTTTATTATAGAACAATTTGCATATAAACTTATTAAAACAATCTGTAATACTCATATTATAGTCATATAATCATTACAGAATTGCAATTAACTATTAGCTTACCTATATAACTAAATTGATTAGAACTTAATATAGTTATATCTCAATAATAACAACAAATACTCAAGCAAGTTTACTAATTTCAAACTTAGCAAACTTAAAACTTTTTGAATTAAATTACTATATAATGAACTACTAATACTATTATATTTATACAAATACTATCAAAAACAATGCCAAACAATAAATGCTTTAAATATAATTAAACAAACTCAGAACTTCACTAGATTACAAATCACAATATTAATATACTACAGAAAATAATCTCATAATCTATAACTAAAAGTTTTAATAATACAAACTTAGAAATTACTCAATCTTAATTTCTTATATTAAAAAACAATTATAAATTATCCTTTATTCTAGCTATCTACAAACTCTTCTAATACAATTAATTTATATACTTTATTCAAAGGACTCTTACTATATACACTTATTCAAATAATTTAACTATATACTAACTCAATTCACTTAGCTTTACAGACAACTATTAAGCTGTTTCTCAAAATTAATTTAAAATTTATAAACAGCTGTGGTTACTCTACTGTTCTGAATTTGCAAACTGGAAGCAACAATACAATATTCATATATTACACTCAAACTCTCAACAAAATTATAGAAATAATTAACAACTTTTTCATATATCTCAGAAAACATATAACTTATATAGCCTTCCTTCTCAACACAACCAGATTTTACTAACTGAATTCACTATACAAAAACTTTCTGCTTAGCCAATACATTAAATTAAATATAGCTTTTCTACAAACTATATTTTTTCTAATCAAATCTAAATAAGTCTTGACTATTCTAGTAGGTTTAGATTACAAATAATTCTAATTTAGCCTTAATTTTAATACTTACTTTAGTTTTAGTTATTTTATTATCATCTAAGCTTCAATTCTTACATATAATTTATTACTAAGTAGTTTCATGTAAACTCTTAACTATATTTTACAAAAATAAAGATAGAGACAAGACCTTATCTCAACTCACAGATTGAAATTAAAAAAAAAACTTTATTAAAAAACTGATATTCTAAAGATTTATTCTATTATATTAGCTATTTTAAAAATTAACTTATTATATAAAAATGATCTTTTATTTTTTTATTTTCATTAAGTTCAAAATTAATACTTAGAATATAAAGATTAGAATAGTGTCTAAAGATTTTAGTTTTTTTTTTTATTAATATATATATGTTGTAAAAAGTGAATTTTGAAACTATATGAATGATTACAATAAGTATTTATAAATTTAATAGATAATTATTTGTTTTAGAAGCATAATAGATAATTTTTTTGTTGAAAAATTTAAGTTAACCGAAAAAAATTTAATAATATATGTAATTATATAATTTTGAAAATGTTATTACTATAAATAGAAAGTTTGGTTTACAAACTACTAAACTTTAGTAAAAATTAATAATGATTTCAAAAACTTTTATTAGTAATATATTTTTACTATCTATATAAAACCTTTTTGTACTACTAAAATCATATGAAAAATAATCTACATACCCTCTACCTAGGGTACCTGACATAGAGACACAGGCATGCCATTTGGTATGCCATAGTGGCATGCCACAAAGACAAAATAGTTTATTAGAAAAATCATAGTACAAAGTGGCATAAGCATGCTATTTGGCATTTTAAACAGTGGCATGCCTATGGCATACCGAATAAATTTATGTGTGCCAGATACCCTACCCTACCCTTAACCAGTGTTGTACGTTTTGGCATGTCCAAAGCTTTTTTGGGCATGTCCAACGTACAAATATCCAAGTGTCCAAGTGTTCAAGTTGTCCATAGCCTTAAATATTTTAATAATAATAGAAATAAAAATTATATTATTATATTCTCCGTTTAATTCTAAACATTTTTGCTTAAAAGATTTTGAATAGGTTATCTTAATAAATTTTTGAGTAAATTCACTTTTATTTTTTTGTCCAAAATGTTCAAAATCTTGTCCAAAGGCTGTCTACGTACAACACCATAAAATTGTCGCTGCATTTAATTACGTATGTGGCGCATATTTAATCATCGGAAATTTTGTCCATATTTAACCGTACCACATAAAGTGAAATATCCGAAAATTTTATATTTAGATCCGAGATTATTCGTATTTAACTTAGATTGTAGAACTGTCCATCACATAAAAATTTCGTTATGACTTATGATCCGAATACATTTTCAAATATTAATGAGGTTAAGACTACTCATCTTGAGTTAAATTTTAATGTAGATTTTGAGAGTAAAATTATTGAAGCAGTTGTCAGTCTTAAACTTATTACACTTACCAATGATGTTAACGAGGTTATACTTGATACAAATTATTTAAACATTAAATCTGTTTCTTTTTCTGGAGTTCAATTGAAAGTATGTTTATAATAGTAATTCTAAAAAAAAGGAATTTCTGAAATTGAACATTAAAAAACTTATTATTTATTTTTATTATTTTTAAGTATTATTTGACTGATAGAAATAAAGATTTCGGTTCCGCTTTACATATTCAATTAGATAAAAAATTATCTGCTAATACTGAATTCGATTTAGTTATTAATTATAACACTTTGGAACAAGGGAGTGCTGTCCAATGGCTGGAACCAATGTATTTTATTTTGTCTTCTTAATGCTTTTTTTTTATACAGTCGTACTGAGTTATATCGTCTTTTTGAGATTTAACTAAAGATGGGTATAACTCAGATATGACTACCGGTATGTCTTTAATCTAAAAATTTATGATTTATTTTACAGACAAACCTCTGGAAAGAAATATCCCTATTTGTTTACTCAATGCCAAGCTGTAAATTTTTATTACCATATTCTTTATTCCTATCACATCATCTTTAAGTATTAATTAACCTTTTAACTTGAAATATTTTGATAGATTCATGCACGAACTCTTTTACCATGCCAAGATACACCAGCATTTAAATTTACTTATAATGCTACTGTTCAAGTTCCAAAACCTTTACGTGCTTTAATGAGTGCTATTGAAGTTTGTGAAGAAGTAACTTTAGAATCTAAAACAAATATTTATAAATTTGAACAAACCGTTAAAATTCCTTCATATTTGATTGCTTTGGCCGTTGGTAATTTGGTTGGAGAGAAAATTGGTCCAAGATCAACTGTATGGTCTGAACCAGAAATAGTTAAAGAAGCAGCATGGGAATTTGCTGATACTGAACAATTCCTAGGAATTGGAGAAAAACTTCTTACTCCTTATGAATGGAAAAAATATGACCTTTTAGTTCTTCCAGCATCGTTTCCCTAGTAAGTTATTTTTCTTATTTTATGTAATTTTTTTTTTGGATTTTTTTTTTTAAAAAAAATTCTATAAATTTTTGTAGTGGAGGAATGGAAAATCCATGTCTAACTTTTGTGACCCCAACATTATTAGCAGGTGATAGATCGCTTGTAGATGTTGTAGCGCATGAAATTTCTCATAGTTGGATGGGAAATCTTGTAACAACCATGAATTGGGTATGATATTTGAAAAATTTTGATTTCTGATGCTTTTTTTTTTTTTTTAAGATTTTAATATATTAATAACATACTGTATAGGAACATTTTTGGCTTAACGAAGGCTGGACTGTATTCATTGAACGAAAGATTATGGGTAAAATAAATATTTTGTAAAGTCTGTATTATAAAATTAATATTGATAAACTTGTTAAAATAGGCCGTGTGCATGGTGATAAAATAATCGATTTCGATGCAATTATTGGGTGGAAATCATTAAAACAAGATATCGAGCATTTTGGACCAGATAATGTTCTGACAGCATTGAATCCCAAATTGAAAGATGTTAATCCTGATGATAGTTTTTCTTTGGTTCCATATGGTATTGCTTATAAAAATTCTCATTATAAATTACCTTTTTATATTCGAATTTTAAATACTTATATAATTTAATCTCAAAATTATAGAAAAAGGCTTCAATTTTCTTTATCATATTCAAAAAGTCATTGGTGGACCAGATTATTTTGAGCCTTATATGAAGGCTCATGTTCAGGAATTTGCTGGTAAATCAATTACTACAGATGATTGGAAAAACTTTTTATATTCTTTTGTGGAAAAACATTATCCTGAAAAAAAAGCTGCTCTGGATTATATTAAATGGAACGAGTGGCTACATTCTCCTGGAATGGTATTATATATATATATATATATTTCGTTTATTAGATTAAGCCAACTATAAATATTTATTTTATTCTTATTTAGCCTCCAGTCGATAATGAATTTGACCAAACGCTTGCAAAAGCATGTTATGATTTGGCCGAAAGGTTCGTTATTTGATTGAAAATTATATTATGTATAAATGTTAATATATCTATAAATTGATTTTGCAGGTGGCATGAAGCTCGAAATAATGAGCTTTTTGATGGGTTTTCACCTTCTGATATTGAAGGGTTTGCTACTGGACAAAAAAGTAATGATATTAACCAATATTTTTATGATAAATATTATTAATGTTAGTTTTTATTAATAATATTTTATGCTTAAATCTTTTAGTCATTTTTTTGGAACGTCTTTTTGAGTATTCACCTCTACCACGTCCACCGATTGAAGCGATGAACAAATTTTATAGTTTCACGAATGTACACAATGCTGAAATACGATTTAGTATGTATATGTATATTATGTAAAATATTTTAATTTTTGATTATGTTCAAAACTATAACAATTTCATTTATTTATTATAATAGGGTGGCAACAACTCTGTTTAAAATCGGAATATGAACCCATTTTCCCTCATGTTGTCAAGTTTGTAACTGAACAGGGTAGAATGAAATTTATCAGACCTTTGTATAGGTAAATTTAACCGTAAAAAAAAAAATTTATTTTCTTTAAAATTAATGATTTCTGATTTTTATTTTTATTTTTTTTCAGAATGTTGAATCAAACAAAAAATGGTTCTGAATTAGCAAAGAAAACTTTTAAAGAAAATAAGTCATTTTATCATCCTATTGCAGCATCAATGATCGAAAAAGACATTTTGGGAATTGCTAAATAATGTATAAGTCTTTTTTATTTTTTATACATTTGAATTTATCTTTGTTTAATTATTATATCTTATTTAATAAAATGTCTTAAACGGGTATTGCTTTATAACAAATATCAGTTGAAAATCGGATTACAACTTTTTAGTTAATAAGCTGTTATTATAGTGAATAATCAATTTTTTAAATCTATTATTATTAATTTCATAACGAAATTTAATACCAGTAAATATTGCTTAAAGAATCAACATTATAAAGTCATGACTTATTTATTAATAATATCTTTCTCGAAACATCAAAATGGGTAATTTGTGTTTTTTTCCAAAATTATGCGAATTATTCAATTGCATCTGCAATGAAATAAATGTTAGGTTTATGCGCAGATTATGCAATTTATGACTACGGTATTTCATCATATCTAAGTTAAAAGCCTCACACTGAAACCAATGTTTTTTTTTTTTTTTTTTTTTTTTACTTTTTAAAAACCCGTCAAACCAATGGGTTTTTTTTTTCAAAGAATTATTCGTAAACTATAATTAAGTTATTCGT